TTTTGTTACAGTGGCAGCAGTGAGTAGTTGCAACCATATGGCCCTTAAAGCCTAAAATATTTTCTATCTGGCCTTTATAAAAACGTTTGCTGAACCTCTGTGCCCAACAGTGAATTGTTTCTGTGCCTTGTTAGACTGGAAGCTTTTTGGAAACAGATTATATATTCATCCTTAAATGTCTAGAGCTCAGCACAGGAGTTTTTCACATTTACTGCTTAATAAATGTGGGAAGGAGAAATTCTGGGGGAATGGAAAGCAGCCCCTTGGAAAGATTAATTCATCAGATGACTCAGACACACCCTGTCTGTTTTTCCTTCTTGCTACAGCTTTATGAGGTTCACTTGGTTGGCAGTCTTAGCTTCTAACCAGTCTCAAATTATCTTGGCAGTATGTGCTGTATGTCTGATCTGATCTTATTTCTTTTGTCTCTCCTGCAGTGGTTTGGATTTTACAGAAGTGGCCAAGCCAAGGAAACCATTCCGTTACAGGAGACCTCCTTGTACACACAGGTAACTGGCAGGGAGAAGGCTGTTTTGGGAGGTTGGTGCTGTCTTTTTTAGCTCCCAGTTCCTGAAGCTGCTAGGTTCTGTGGTGTTTGAGCCCTGCCCTGTACACCTCAGAGCACTAGGTACTCCTGAAACACCTGACTCATGTCCAATATGGGTGAAGCTTGTTAGGCTCTTGATTGTTGCTCTAGCTTATCAGGCACTGGGTTACAGAAATCCACTACATCCTGACTATAACCTTATGGTTTCCAAGCAAGAACAACAAAAACCTCATCTCTGATTCCCTCCTTTTGATAAAAAGGTTTAAAACTAGCTGCCTTTGCTGAGGCCACTACAAATCCAGGAAGCCTCCATGCATGACGAAAACATAGGGGCATTCCTTTTTTTTTTTTTTTTTTTTGAGATGGAGTCTCGCTCTGTCACCCAGGCTAGAGTGCCGTGCCTCAATCTTGGCTCACTGCAACCTTTGTCTCCGAGGTTGAAGCAATTCTCCTGCCTCAGCCCCACTAGTAGCTGGGATTACAGGTGCACGCCACTGGTTAATTTTTGTATTTTTAGGAGAGATGGGGTTGCGGAAATGTTGGCCAGGATGGTCATGGCTAGCCTGGTGATCCACCTCCCTGGGCCTCCCAAAGTGCTGGGATTACAGGCATGAGCCACTGCGCCTGGCCAATGGGGTGTAACTGGCTTTTTTTGTTGTTTTTTTGAGACAAGAGTTTCACTCTTGTCACTCAGGCTGGAGGCAGTAGCATGATCTCAGCTCACTGCAACCTCTGCCTCCTGGGTTTAAGTGATTCTCCTGCTTCAGCCTCCACAGTAGCTGGGATTACAGACATGCGCCACCATGCCCAGCTAATTTTGTATTTTTAGTAGAGACTGGGTTTCTCCATGCTGGTTAGGCTGGTCTTGAACTCCTGACCAGGGGGTTACTTTTAAACATTAATAGATATGAAATCCTGTTTGTAAATTACACATTGACAAGGGAAGCTCCTGCAGGAGGTTGAGTGGGACTAGAGTTGTGAGTTTTGTTTGGCAGTAGGTCCTGTTTCTTAAGCAGAAGTTGCAGTATTTCATCACCTCCAGTTCTGGGGCCTTCCACACTTTAAGGATTTCTTTTTTTTTTTTTTTTTTGAGGCGGAGTCTCGCTCTGTCACCCAGGCTGGAGTGCAGTGGTGCGGTCTCAGCTCCCTGCAACCTCTGCTTCCCGGGTTCAAATGATTCTTCTGCATTGGACTCACTAGTAGCTGGGCTTATAGGCACACACCACCATGCCTAATATTTTGTTTTTTTAGTAGAGATGGGGTTTCACCATATTGGCCAGGCTGGTCTTGAACTCCATACCTCAGGTGATCTGCCCGCCTCAGCCTCCCAGAGTGCTGGGATTACAAGCGTGAGCCACTGCGCCTGGCCCTAAGGATTTTATATTGGAGACAAGACTCTCCAAAATACATACTACATCTGAAACAATCACCTTCTACTAGAATTCCTCCATATTATTTTAGAAGCCATTTGTCTCCTCTTCGTTTTTCTTTTGCATTGGGTGCCTCAGCTTGGGTGGTGAAGTAAAAAGGGAAGCTGGGATCTGATTTAAAAAAAAAAAAAAGGCTTGAGAAATTACAGCTAAGAACGTCCTTATTGTGAAACTTGACGTGATGGTGGCCACAGCAGAAGCACCATTCTGGCACTGTCATAACTGCTTATCTTCCCGACCAGAAGTTGTTCTCCAGCACCTAGGCTATGGGTAATGATGTTTTCGACTGCAGAATATGAAAGTGTCCCAGGGTTTGTTACCTAAGGGTTGGATATGTTTTTTAAGTTACCTAGCTTTGGCTCAGTCCCACTTACCTATGGCATTCTGAGGGAGTGTTGTCCATGGCTTGCCCATCTGTCAGTAGTCTTCTGACTGAGCAGCTTTTCAAAAAGCAGAATCTAGAACTCTGTATAGAGCAATCTCAATTGCATGTATATTTTTAATACTTAGAAAAAACTGGGAGAGATCCTTTTTGGCATTTTTTGAAAATAAACCTCAATTTTTATACTCGGGACATACTGCATTTTGGCAATATTATCTCAAGTTAACATACGTATTTACTCCACCACTTAAGCTTTTTGACTAATTATGGCCTTTCCCTCTGCAGGACCGCCTGGGGCTAAAGGAAATGGACAAAGCAGGACAGCTAGTGTTTCTAGCTACTGAAGGGGACCATCTTCAGCTGTCTGAAGAATGGTTTTATGCCCACATCATACCATTCCTTGAATGAAACCCGTACAGTTCACGATAGAGCTCAGGGAGCCCCTAACTCTTCCAAACCACGTGGGAGAGTTTCCTTCATGCCCAAGCCTGAGCTCAGATCCAGCTTGCAACTAATCCTTTTATCATCATCTAACACGCCCTACTTGGAAAGATCTAAGATCTGAATCTTATCCTTTGCTGTCTTCTATCACCATATGGTGTTGAATGCAAGTTTAATTACCATGGAGATTGTTTTACAAACTTTTCATGTGGTCAAGCTCAGTTTTAGAAAAACAATCTGTTGCAGATCAGTGCCAGAACTGTGCCCAGGCCCAAAGGAGACAACTAATTAAAGCAATGAGATAGATTCTAAGGGCAAACATTTTTCCAAGTCTTGCCATATTTCAAGCAAGGAGGTACCCAGGCCTGAGGTACTCACATAAATGCTTTTTTTTTACTGGTGATTTAACCAGTGCTTGGAAGTCTTGCTTGGCTATTTCTGCATAATAATTTCTTAAGGCTGCCTTCCTCTCTGAGTATGCTGCTCTGTGCTATCATCTTATCAATTATTAGACAAATCCCACTGGCCTAGTCTTGTTTCTGCAGCACCCCTTTTTGTCTCCTCAGGTAGTGATGAATTAGTTGCTTTGTCACAAAAGGAGGGAAGTAGCACCCCATTAAGTTGCTTAAGAGAGGAAATGTACATCTTGTATAACTTAGATAGGGAGTGAAGAAAATGTAGGTATGAAAGTGAAAAGGCAGCTAGTTCTTCCTATTCCATTCTTGACCAACCTGCTCTTTCTTAATATGACTAGTGGTCTCGATGCAAGAGTTAACTTACTGTGTTGCTGGCTTTAGCAGAGAATGGGAGGAACCATATGAAAAACATCAGGCTTTCTAACTTCCATCCCCAAAACATATTTACCAGCATACTCCAAACTGTTTCTAATGTATTCTGTGAGAAAAGAATTGTTTGCTCAAAAAGCTTGGAAAATACTACACACTCCCTTTCTCCTTCTGGAGATCAACCCATAATCTAAGGACTCTGAGAATTCCTGTTACAGTAAATAAAACTAAATCTACCATTACCTACACTATTTGAGCATGGAAATCATAGTCCCCACTCTGAAAACTTAACGCTTTTTGGAAGACATTTCTGTAGAATGCCAGTTTGGAGAAATGATGAGCTAAGCCTTGATGAAAGAACCGTGTTGGTGCTGATAAGTTTACCCATTATGGATTTCTTTTCTCTCTCTCAGGCCTTATTCTTCAACTAAAAGATGAGGATTAAGAGCAAGAAGTAGGGAGATGTGAAAATAATTTTATGAGGTTGTCTAAAATAAAGAGTAGTTTCTTATCCTTGGTGTTATTTTTCAACATTTTTTACATTTCTGTACAGCCAGTATCACAGGTAAACAACTAGGCAAGTTTGGTATTAACTTTATTCTATTTTCTGTATAACTTTAAGTACATAAAGGTTTATTTCCACAGGCCTCAGGAAATGGGTAGAAATCACAGGACAATCTCTCTTCCCACCAAAAAAGTTGCATATTTTGGTGTTTGTCCTAGAGGGAAAAAACTGAACTTTACATTAGCAGTGCTGTGCAAGATTCTTACATAAATCAAGACCTAAAACCAGCCTGCAGTGGAGGTTTCAGTCCTCTGTTCAGGTGCTTGGACAGAAGCCATAGCTGATGAGCATGACAAGGAAAAGGAGGCAGTGAAGACAGGTGACAGGCACCTAGCAGGGAAGGAGGATTCAGGAATGCCAGACTCCTTGGAATGGTGTTTTTTTCCTTTTAAGTCATCTCAGTAGGAAGGTGCTGGACAGGAATCCCAGAGAAAGAATGGGTCCAAGGCTCCTTTAACTGCCCTGGATGAAGGGCACTGCCACAGCAGCTAGTACCAGAGACGCTCCTATGTCATGGTTGAGGCAGACCCAGGATGGAATAGAGAATAAAAGGAATGCTTATAGGGAACAATTTTGCATGGAATGCTAGATAGCCAAGCCTCAGCCTTTGGTCCAGTGCAACCCTTGCCTCACTTGTCAACAGTAAAAAATTAGTTTGGTTAGAAGAACCATCTGGAAACACATCAGCTTCTGCTATCTTCATGCTCATTGTTAGAAAAAGGTTAACCATTGAGCAGAACAAATACTAAAAAAAAAAAAAAAAAAAAAAGAAAAAGAAAAAGAAAAAGATTAACCAGTGTGAACATTCTGATCTGTTAATTCCTGGGACTCTTTTCTTTTCAATGGACTGTTTGTTGGTAGAATAACCCCCAAAAGCTCAAAGCTAAAATGCATCATCAGTCCTGGTTGGCAGTTCCTTCAGAATGGACTGGCAGCATGGTTGAGCTGATATGGAAAAGCTGCACCTTCCTGCAGAAGATCAATTGACCTGCTATCCCACCCCAAATCAGCCTGAGGTATATTTCAGTGAAGGCAGGTAGCTGTGCTTCTCAAAGCAGAGAAGCAGTTTTAAGAGCAGAAAGGTAGAGAAAATCTAGAAAAGAACCGTCTTGATACAGATTTATCCCATGGTGTGAAGGGAGGGCAAAGAATCCAGTGGCACTTCGTTTATCCAGCAATTTCTGTCACTGTGGTGACCAACTTCTGCCCATTCCATAGGGTCTTGAACTGCTCAGGAACTGGGAATTCATTCTGCAAATAAAGAAGAGACAGCAGGTTTAAATCCAAGCGAAAGAAGAGCTGGAGCTAAATCCCACACATCTCTCCCAATGCTTGCTTTCACTTAACCCCAGCAGCAGGGAAGGATGTAGTGGAAGAAAAGCCACAGAGACACGCTGTGTTCTAGTGTTCAGTGATCTGGGATCTTGGACAGACTATTAAGTCTATGGGTTATAAATGATAGTACATATGGCCTTATAGCACCAGCTTGACAAGGTGCCATGGCTCATCCCCATTCTTTTTTGCTACCTCGAGCTCCATTTAGGCAGAAACCACCTTCCCTCTGGAGCCCCGCTACACTGGACTACCTCACTTCTGTGTGCTTTTGGTGTGCATTGTTGGGTTTTTACCTACTCAGTGCAGAATGTTCATAAAATAGCTTTCTCCAATGCAAAAAACCTTCAGTCCCTTCTGTTTTTAATATCATACTACTAAAGAGATCAAGAAACTTACAAAGTCACCGCCTTCTGTAGGAATGAGGACGTTCATCTCAGAAGATTTGGCACTGACTATTTCACAATCCAGGGAATTCTTGCTCAGGTAAGCATGGCAGCCATCTGTTTTGTTGATGGAAATGGTTGGCACTTTACCCATTACCTGCAGAGTAAACCAAGAGAACTGAGTCCCAGCCATTGGGGAGGACAACAGTAAGTTGCAGGAAAAGCTTTCCTGTTTCATGTGACTCAGCAACTACATGAAAAGCTCACAGGTGCACAAGACACTGGATACTCGGGTGGGGTGGGATGGGTCCTGGAAAGAACTCACTTGTAGAGCCAGCCTCTCTTCTGCCACATCCAAAGCAGCTCAGCTTACAGCCTTTGTAGAATCAGATTCCCACTAAAGCAACATCTGTGGGTCTGCCATGTCTCTTTCAATTAATTCCTCAGGGACTAAAGGAAGGAGCCAAATTATCGAGTTACCTGAACTTTGACATCCCTACTGTTGATTATCTCCACAATGCCCACCACGTCATCGAATACCAGGCCAAGTTTCTTACAGTTATCTAGGAGAAGAAAGGGAGCAAGTCAACAGTGTAACTTTAAAGGAAAGTAATATATATTTAAGAATCTTTAAGAATAGGGTAGGTTAAAGTGGTATTAGCCCTCTCGGGTTTTGGGACAGTGCTTTCATGGGATAGTGACGAGGACTCACCTACTGTAATGGAGTTAATTTTGCCCTTGATTTGCAATGTCGTGTTGACACACTTGTAAATGTAAGCCACCTGTTTCAGCTCTGTGTCATCAATCACCAGGCTGGAAACATTTTCCTGATTTTCCTATTAAAGAGATATCCCAGGATTCTCATCACAAACCACACACTGAACAACAACAAAAAAAGCAGGCTATCCCAAACTTTTTGTTCTTGTAATTAAAGCCAGAACTCTGCCCTCATCTAGCTAAGCTCCATTTAATCCCCGTTCCTACTCCTTGTCCCCAGGAGGCGGAGGTTGCAGTGAGCAGAGATCACACCACCGCACTACAGCCTGGGTGACAAAGTCAGACTCTTGTCTCAAAAAAATAAAATAAGTAAATGAAAATACCTGCCCCAATCCAGGTATTTCTAACTTACCACTCTCCACTTCTTGCCCTCCAGTTCAAGTATAGCTGGCTCCTTCTTTGTGGCTGGTTTGGGGGATGGGCTGGTTTGGGGTTTAGGTGCAGAGAATGGCTTGGGGCCACTGCGTACTGGACCACTCTGAGACTTCAAGGCAGGGTTCTTGTGAGTCTTCATGTCATCAGATACGTGTTTCAGGGCTGTAAGAACAACAGCTACCTTGTTCCTGTCCTTCATACCAGACCTTTGAGCTGAATAATAACCAGCTTCTGCTATCATCATGTTAAACATCCTTAACAGAAAATTCAAAGCCAAAATCCAGAGCCTTAAAGGTGTTCTCTTGCAAGCAGTTTTGGAGAAGTTCTTTTATAATTTCTCTTCTCCCCAAGGTTAAATTATATGGTTCCATTAAAAACAACATGGAATGTGTGTGTCTATTGTGGGTGGGGATAAAGATATGTAAATGAACAGAGAAAGATCTAGAAAGACCTATCATATATGGACAAATATGTAGTTTTTAAAGCAATATGGGAGGAAAAATAAGTAACAGTAAAAGTTAAAAAAAAAAAAAAACTCTCACTGCCCACAACTAACTCTACTTCCCCCACCCCCACAGTCAGTTTTGGCATTTGCGGCTCTACAATATTGTTTTCTCTATATATTTGGTTTTATTGGTTATAATCATACATTGTTAACAAATTTGGTTCAACCAATTGACACTTAAAAACTTTCTCATGTTAACCTGTAGTTTCTAAAAATAGCTTTCTAGGCCAGGCACAGTGGCTCACGCCTATAATTCCAATACACTGGGAGGCCGAGGCACGTGGGTCACCTGAAGTCAGAGGTTTGAGACCAGCCTGGCCAACATGGTGTATTTTTAGTCTCTACTAAAAGTACAAAAAAATTAGCTGGGCCTGGCGGTGTGTGCTTGTAATCCCAGCTACTTAGGAGGCTGAGGCAGAAGAATTGCTTGAACCCAGGTGGCACAGGTTGCAGTGAGCCGAGTTCATGCCATTGCACTCCAGCCTGGGTGACCAAGTGAGAATTCGTCTCAAAAAAAATAAAAAAGAAAAGTAAAAATATATTTCTTTTATGTTTTAAGGGAAAAATAATCCATAATCTCCCACAGCAGGCTGACACACACCTTGCTTTGAACATGACCTGATCTATGTTAACTGTATAACCAATACCGAATGGCCTTTTTATCTCTACTATTCCTTGCGGTTGTAATTTACATACTAATTTTTTTCTTAAACATTACATGGTTCACTGTAGAAAAAAATGTAATGGTGGCATAACATTTCATCAAGAGGACATGTGGTAGTTAACTAACCATTTCTCTTACTGTTGGATTTAGGTTACACCATTTTTAGCTACTATGAATAATACTGTACAAAGCTTCTTTAGATATTTTTGTAGGTAGATTCCTAGAAGTGGGCTGGACAACTCAGACTTCCACCAGCTGCGTTGAGGGTATCTACTTTCTCTATACCAACATAAGGTCACTCTTATGCAAATTCTCCATGTAATCAGTATGCATCTTCTGAGGAAGTTAACTCCCTAACACAATGCCTTCCCAGAGGCCATGTGGTGCCACAGAAAAAGCTCTGGGGAAAACTGCCAGCTCTGTGCCTTGGCACAAGAGGGCACTCTATATATGCTACCTAATATTAAGTCATTTTCCCATGGGGCAGAGAGCTTCCTCCAACTGTGATCATTATTTTCGATTCCCATTTAAGCCAGCTTTGCTGTCCCTTAAAGGATCAGGACACACCAAATGAGTCCCCCACACACAAGCGGGGGTTGTGGTTTGCAGACTAGCTGTTGGGCTCTGGTTGGTGGAGTCTGGCTCACACAATTTGCTGTACCGACTGATCGTGTCAAAGTGCTCACTCACCATGTGTGATGCTCTCCCCCTGATTAATCTGCGCAAACAGCGCTGAGCGGGAAGCAGACTCATCTGAGCCTGAACTGGTAGAGACTGGCGGAGGAGGGGGGCCTGGTGGAGGGGGAGGAGGACCTGATCCAGCAGAGGGTCCAGATGGCAGTCCACTCAGTTCTTTTGCTACAGGCCCCTGGAATGGTAAGTGCAGGTAACATCGTCATCCTCTCTTCCCCTCTATACCATTCCCAGTAGCACCCTACATATGGCCAGTGCACGTGGGGTCCCCACTACAGCCTTTCAGGCAATGATTAATGCATCCTACCCATATCCAACTTGGCTTTATGCCTTCTCATCCTTGCCCAAGTATCCAGCTCTCAGTTCTATTTCTTGACCATCACATTTTGTCTTTGACCTCACCTGATTCCAGCTCTAAAAACTATTTCTATAAATCTATTTGACATCTTCCTTTGTGTGTTACCAGTACTTCAGATTCAACAAGTTTGGAACTGATTCATCATTTCCTGTCTGCTCCCCTCCCTGTATAATCATCCCCTTGTCTCTATTTCAGTGAAAGACGTTACCATCCAAGACTATTCAATCTTCTTTGAGGATTCCAACTTCTTCAGCCTTATCAAATCTTTCTATTATCTTGGTGCTATCTCCTGCAAATTTTTTCTACTATCCCCCAAACACCATGATCACTTTCATAATCTGAGCATGAGTCCTTATCCCTAACCTATATACTGAGACTCTTTTAAAGACAAATTGGATCATTATCACTCCCTTGCTCAACTACCTCATTCCAAAGTCTCAGGATACCTTTCTTTCCAGCCTTTTCTCCCAAAAATCTGACCATTTCCCCTTATTAAAGCCAGAGATGAGCAATCTCTACGTTTACTCTATTTTTAAGCTCTGCCTTTGTAGTATCCCACTTCTCACTGCCCCACACTTCCTTCAAGTCTCACAGAAGAGTATATACCTTCAAAGCACAATCTCTCCTAATGAGAAGCACTCTTCTCTTCCGCATCCTCTAGAGTCTGTATCTTTATTACAGCATTTGCCTTGGTGATTTGTACTGGGGGTTTTCATTTGTATTTTTAAGCTCCTTAGGCTGGGATAGTGCAACTCATTTGCATGTGTCTGCCCACCCAGCATCAATCACTGTCCCTGACATGTTTATTGAAATTGAATACCACTGAATATTCCTTCTCCTCTGATCCTTGCTTCCTTTACTTTTTCCCTTTCTTTCTCCCCCTTTTCTTTCTCCCCTGCACTGAAAAAACTAGCATTCCTTCACAGACTTTGGTAGTGCTCAAGTCTAAGATACCTGTGGCCCCCACCCTGGAGAGAGAGAGAGTAGGAGGGAGGGAAGGAGGAAAGATTCACTAACCGTTTTGCTCCATGCCAGTCCAGTGGTATGAAACTCCTTAATATAAGCCTGCAGCTCTGTCCATATACTTAAATAAGCTTTAACCCAGTCTACATGCTTCTTATCCCTGGGAGGATTAAAGAAGAACTTGTCACAGGTTGTCAGGGTACATTACAATGGTGATTCCAGACCCTTCTTTCCTATGAGCTCACATTCTCCTATCTGTGGTGTTTCCTAGGCTCTGCTCAATGGCAGCTTTCTCTCATCACAAGCTTCTATGTATATATAGCCTAGTCTATTACCCTAATCAGACCAAACTCCAGTAAGATAGAGAGTCTGGATTCTATCTCTTTCTATCTCTCATTGCAATGTTTCTCAAACTGTTATAAGTACCAAAACTTTTTTCTTTTTTTCTTTTGACCACTGCTGCTTATTGAAACCTTTTTCAAAGTAGACCTTAAACACAACCTAATACGTAAAACTGATAAAAGCAGACATTCTGGTAGAGAGGAGAGCTTTTAAGTATCACTGTGGAACTCTAAGTTCTTAAGACTAAGAAACTTAACTGCCTTATGAGATAGTGCCTTATATCAAAGCACACCCACTCCCACCAAAAGCAAACTTAAAAACTTTAGGAGGAAACAATTAGCATTAAATTATAGAAATAGCACTGTACCTATGGTTCAAGTCCCCTCTCTTCTTGTATATTATCTGGGAAGGTTATTTAACCTAAGACCTAGTTTCCTCAACTGTAAAGTGATGGGGTAATGGTGGGATATATGAAAACACAGTCATGTTTAATTCCACGTTGCTGGAAGAATAACAAAATGCCTGTTGTTCCGGGACACATTTCACTCACAGGAAGGTGTAGTATTCCTTAAACAGAGTAGTTACTCAATAAATGTTTGTTGCTTGATGAAAGACTGAAGAAAGGAAGGGTTTGGGTAGATATGCAACTTAATAAATTTTTCCATCTCAAAACCAGCAATGGAGAAGTCAGGACTGGTAGACATATGTGGGTAGACATACAGTGACTACCCTCTTAATATCTGCATTGGCTAGGCAGCCTTACTCTCACTTTAACTGACTGCATGAAAAATTTCTATTAAGTCCTACTTAACCCTTTGCCACTGGGGCAATAACAAATTCTCAACAAAAAAAACAAAATCTTATATAAAGAGCATTAGTTCATGTTATTGCCAGCAAAACTTCCTAAACCCAGAAAGGTAAGGATCAGAAGACTAAAAGGGCCTCTACTAACAAAAGATAGAAAGCAGAAGTGGAAGCAGAAACATTTCCTGCTTGCAAATACAGCTATGAGCCAATATCTATAAAGCTCTCCAGAAAGCAGCCCTGAGATAAAACCAGCACAGTGGCTAAGGGCAGCCTTCGTTAACTCCAAAGTTAAGTTCATTAACTCCACAGCAAGTAACTAACTGGGTTTATCCTTTACCCCTGAGAAAAAGCTGAACTTGGCTGGGCATGGCTCACACCTATAATCCCAGCACTTTGGAAGGCCAAGGCAGGAGAATCATTAGAGACCACCCTGGGAAACAGTGAGACCTCATCGCTACAAAAAAATTAAAAAATAAGCCAGGCATGGTGGAGCGTGCCTGAAGTCCCAGCTACTTGGGGGACTGAGGATTGCTTGAGCTGGGAGGTTGAGGCTGCAGTGAGCTGTGCCTATGCACACTGCACTCCAGCCTGGGTGACAACACAAGACACTGTCTCAGAAAAAAAAAAAAGAAAGAAAGAAAAGAAAAGGCTGAACTTACACATCTTTGTACTCTTTGAGGACTCGGTTTGTATAAAACATGGCAGCATCGTTCATTTCTTTCACATAAGGGCCAGGCTTGGGAGCCTAGAAAGAGAGACGCTGTCAGTGACTCAGGACCTCTCCAACCATATTGCCTTCCCTCTTACAGTCTATACCCACCCCCAGCTCAGGAATCTGCACTACTCACCATAGCCACCCAGCCCAGGGCCTGGATGCTTTCGCTGACAGCTGACAGGTGATTAAACAACTTGCTGCCTCGGTTCTTCTCCCGAAAGGTTATCACTTCTTTGATCTGCTCTGAGATGGGTGCCAACAAATCGGAAAGCTTGTTCTAGGAAAAAATGCAAGAAAAGATTCAGGTTAACATTTTTCCACAGGGGTTTCTATGCCTTCTGATCCTGAAGGCCAGAATTCTCTATGGACGCTACTGAGTACCCAAATAAGCCTCAGCAGTCCTGTCCTGATTCCTAAGGCTAAAATACTGTTCATCATTTTATTCTCCTCATGGAGTTCCAACTCCTCAGGCTGTACTGTATGGTTATTCATGATCAGGACCCATACCTCATCTGTAACACAATACCTCCATTTCAGTGACTTGTCTCTTTTCTGTTCCACACATAGGACGTACTCAGGACATCATTCCTTTGCCTTACTAATGATATTCTCTTCTTTTTCCATGATTCCAAATTTTCCTCATGCTTCATGAGGGCCCTCCAACCCCAGCCACACCAGCCTCCTACAGCATTTGTTGTCAGCATAACCAATTTTGGCATTTTATCACTCACCAACACAAACTATTAATGGACCCATGTGAATGTTTTTCTTTCTCATTAATTCTTCAAAGACAAGAGCTCTTTTATCATAATTAAAGCCCTCAATGCACTGCTAGCCACATAGTAGCTGCTAAGTAAAGAACTGATGAAACAAATGCAATTAGGGGGCTTAGGCTGGGCGTGGTGGCTCACGCCTGTAATCCCAGCACTTTGGAAGGCCAAGGCAGAAAGATTGCTTGAGACCAGGAGTTTGAGACCAGAATGGACAACACAGCACACTCTTGTCTCTACAAATAATAAAAATAATTAGGGCCAGGCACAGTGGCTCACGCCTGTAATCCCAGCACTTTGGGAGGCTGAGGGGGGCAGATCACTTGAGTCCAGGAGTTCAAGATCAGCTTGGGCAACATGGTGAAACCTCATCTCTACAAAAATACAAAAATCAGCTGGGTATGGTGGCACATGCCTGTAGTCCCAGCTGTTCGGGAGGCTGAGGAGGGGGAATCACTTGAGCCTGGGAGGTAGAGGTTTCAGTGAGCCAAGATCCTGCCACTGCACTCCAACCTGGGCAACAGAATGAGACCCTGCCTCAAAAATAAATAAATAATCCAAGCATGGTGGTGCACTCTTGTAGTTAAGGCTACTCAGGAGGCTGACGTGGGAGGATCATTTAAGCCTGGGAGGTCAAGGCTTCAGTGAGCTCTGATTGCACTACTACATTCCAGTCTGGGTGACAAAACAACACCCTGACACAAAAAAAAGAATTTGTTTTTAAACATAAATAAAATAAAACAATTAGGGGCTTAGCATTCAACCAGGTACCTTAGCAAAATGGATGAATTTTGTTTGCGTTTTCACCCTTCCTCCATAGCTCCATTTCCTGAACATCTCAATTCTCAGATCTTAACCATTCAGGACAGATTAAGAATCACAATCTAATTCTACATATTAGAATTAGATTATATACACACACATATACCTCTTTTTTTTTTTTTTTTTTGGAGACAGGGTCTCGCTCTATCACCCAGGCTGGAGTGCAGTGGTATGTTCATGGCTCACTGCAACCTCAAACTTTCAGGCTCAAATGTTCCTCCCATTTCAGCGCCTCAAGTAGTTGGGTCTCTAGGCACGTACCACCTTGCCTGTTTTTTTTTTTTTTTAACTTTTAGTAGAGGAAGCAAGGTCTTGCTATGTTGCCCAGGCTGGTCTCCAACTCCTGGCCTCAAGTGATCCTCCTGCCTCAGCCTCCCAAAGTGCTGGGATTTTTTGTGACATTATCTTGCACTATTTTCATATTATCTAGGCATGCTGAGGGTGAAGAGTTTTAATACAGCATTTAGGACAACTTGCTTTATTAGCCCTCTGTAACTAGGAACACCAAACGCAAAAAAAGGAATCCTATAATCTTTGCCTCCAAGAAAAATCTAAATCTAAAAGTTGAATTTAAATTCAACTTTTCACATCTTGCACCATAAAATTTTGAGGTGGGAGTAAAATTAAAGGGAGATTCACCCAACCTGTGAAGGATGAGGGGAGAAGCAATACTGCAGGAGTTTTGAGATCTCCACAGCAGCACTACTAAAGCCCAACCACAGTGAAGCAAGAGAATCATCTTTAAAGGGCTTTGGAGACACTATGATGAATGTGGGCTCAGTAAAGAGGCAGGCAAGCAAAGTCCCAGGGATAACTACAGTCCTATGCAAAATGACAGAGAAAAAGCCAGTAGAGACCATTAAGTACTCAACAGCACATTCCCATTAAGGCACTTAAAGTCTGGCTCTACCTCTGGAACTTGGTATGAACCATGTAACATCATGAGCCTTGTAGGCCTATTTTAGGATGTGATAATAGCTTAACAGAAATCTCTCAACTCATCTTGAGCATCAAACCAAAATAAAACCAACTAGTAGTGAACTTACATCTGCTGGCTGTTGACACTGAGATGCTGTAACCAAAAGAGCTCGCTCCAACTTCAAACCTGTGTGGACCATCTCCGCCTGCCAGAAAGAAGAATCAGCTATAGATGACACATTATAACTGGAGAGGTCTTAATAAGAATAACCTGAAACCTCTACTTTCATGTACTCTGATAGCAACCCAGGCACTTCATTTTATCCTTTATCCTCCTCATGTACTGCAGATTCCAGGGACTGATAGCAGAATTACATATACTACTGTTCCTGTTGGAACTTGCCAGGGATACAAATCCAGAGTTGGAAATGAAGTTAATCAGATAATCACCTGGCCTTACATGAAGTCATCTTAGCTACTACACATGCATTGTGATACTGTGCAGTGAAATCCTTCCTATTTCACATCAGTAAAAAAAAGAAAGAAAAAAAACACACACACACACACACACACACAAACAACCACCAAAACAAACAAACAAACAAAAAACCCCTTTCTTTTCTCAAAAACTGGAGACAGGAATAAAGGCAAAGCCCTAAATTTATGCCTAAACTTCTCAAGGTATTTACTCCTTTAGGTTAAAGCTATCTCTCAAATGCTAGATATCATGACCCATTAATAAATAACTAAATCGATTTAGTGAACTTAATAGAAAAAAAAGTATGAGTGTAGTGCACCAACTTAAAGTTATTTCCAAATAAAAAGTTAAAAAAAAATCAGTACAGCAGAAGTAGTATAAATATAATTTTGCTACATAAGCAGAATATGTATGGAAAAAATAAATAAATATCATTTTGTGAAACTTTTATCTCAGTTATAAATATGTTCTTTCTTTCTAAGGGTCATTTACAGTCAAAAGAATTTAAGAAACATGAGACTAAAGCACTATTAAAATACAAAAAATTCAAAGAAAGTAATCTATTTTTTTCTGGATGTGCATTTTTAAAATACAAATGATAAATGTTTTAACGTTTTTTCAAATGTTATAGAACTGTATAAAGTAAAAATGCAAGCCTCCAGACCCTTACTAAAGTCCCAGTCCCACACTCTAGAGCTAAGACCATTGGCAACAGATGGTATTTGAGAGGCTCAAAATAGATTTTCCAAAAACCAAGCAGCCAGTCTTGGTGAAAGGTTTAGGTGAGGAAGATCCCTAAATATGGTTTCTATTTATAAGGGATCATTCAGTGAGCTAGCAGGAATGTTTCTGGGTCCCAAAAATAGAGGCAGAATGTATATGTGAGTGTGGGATGGCGGGGGGTGCGTGGTGGTGATGACATAGGAGGCATAAAGGAAGGTGGGTGGAAAGGCACCTGTCATTGCCTCCTTCATATTCTTGCTGTGGGCAAGTGTGAAAATAACCCACATTAGCATAACTAATAACTATCAAGCATAGTTTTATAAATGCTAAGTCATGATAATGACTCCTTTAAATAAGCCACTGTAGGTTTCATTATATAATACATTGGGATCAAACTGGTACATATTCTTCACTACAAAGATGAACAGAATCATATTTTATATACCAAGTAACCTTTCTGTATAAATGTGTGATAAAAGCAAGGGGCCTAGAAAAATATGAGGAATCATTTCTATGGCTGGACTGAACTCCTCAGTAGAGGTAGAAGAAAAAGAACATGTGTAATGCCCCAAACCAAGAGGAAATTCTCAAGGGGCTCTTAAACCAAGGATGAGCCCCTTGGCTGACTGAAGAAAGCTCTCAGTCCTTAAAAGAAGGGGAAAAAGGCAAAACATCCTTACATGTTTCTGCACGTCTCCCCCAATCTCTTTACTGATCTTCAAGTACTCTGCCACGGGACCGGCAAGCAGTAAGTCAAATGCCTGCACATAGGGAGCTGCTCCTGCTAAAGACAAACACACCAGGAAGAATCAGCCATGCATCAGGAGGAGGCTTCTTTAAAATGTGCTTCTATGTGAAAGTGGGTTCTGTGTAAGCAGCATATGGAAAAAAAAAAGGAAGTCAGGAGGCAAGGTAATACAGTCAAGAGGATATTGGAACAGGAGTAGGGAAACATGGGTTCTAGGTCCAATTCACCACTAACTGGTTGTGTGACCCTGACTAAATCCCTTTTCCTCTCTGAGCTTAATTTTCTTTATCTATAAAATGAAAATAAACAAAATGATCCTCCAAGGTTTCTTTTCGTGTTAACATTCTATGTTTCAATTGGTACATGTGCAAAATGGCCAATTTGCCAATCATTTGGAGAGAGGAATTTTATTATCATTTGTCATTTGACTTACATTGGAGTCATTCTGCCAAAGAAAGAACAGGAAATATCACATAAGCAGGAAGTTCTGGTGTTAAAATAACTTAACCACAGGCCTCCATGTACAAGTCATTTCCTCTCTTATCTGTTCACAGCAATATAAATTACAAAATATAAACTTTCTAGATTAAGTGTTTTGGGAAGTTAGCTCCAAAGGAGAGAACAGAAAATTTTCAGACCAAGACATTCAAAGAAAGCATTCTGCTGGGCTGTGAACTGCTTACCTTTTGAAGGACTGTCTCCATACCCACGGTGCATGTCAGAGGTATGGGATACTGCCTCCAGGCGGCCCACTGCCCTCTCCAATCTTTCTACCAGATTTTGCATGTCAGCCATAATGTATCACCTGCTGAAACAAATCAAATGTCATTTCTTATTTAAATATTACATAGCACCTACAAAGAAAAAAAAAAACAACAGAAAATTCCTGGTCACCCACAGGTGGATGAAGAGGAAGGATGCCAATTCTAGGAACAGAATAATTTAATAAAATTAGAAGTCATCTGCAAAATGGAGCAATACAAAAAAATCAGATAAGTAGTCTAACATATTTACAAAATCAAAAGACCTCATTAAGCAAGAGAACTGCTCAGGAAAAGGTGTTCACTAAAGTAAATGCTTACTCATTCAAATACTTCCTGAATATTTACTATGCTACTGTGTGTAGAAAGTTAGGATTTGCAAAGGATAGTCCCACATATTATCTCAGTTTGAGCCTCCTGACAACTATTCAGGAACAGAAGGATGATTATTACACGCTTAGAGATAGAAAACTTAGTTTCAGAGAAGTTCAATGACTTGCCTAGTCATACAGCCAGCAAACAGAGAAGCCAGTACTCAGTTCATCTTATGGCTCTAAATTCAGTGTGTTTTTTCCCATGACATCCTGCTGCCCGCATGTGAAATATCCCAAACCAAGATGAATAGAATATCTTCTCTGCCCTCAATAATTTTTTTTTTCAGACGAGTCTTGCTCTGTCACCCAGGCTAAAGTGCAGTGGCAGGATCTCAGCTCACTGCAAGCTCCACCCGCTGGGTTCAGGTGATTCTCCTGTCTCAGTCTCCCAAGTAGCTGGGATTACAGGCATGTGCCTGTAATTTTTTGTATTTTTAGTAGAGATGGGGTTTCACTATGTTGGCCAGGCTGGCCTCGAACTCCTGACCTCAAGTAATTCACCCGCCTCAGCTTCCCAAAGTGGTGGGATTACAGGCGTGAGCCACCATACTCGACCTGTCCTCAATAATTTATAGTCTAATAGGGCAGACTTAACATATGAAACAAGTAGAAAAAAATGTTTCAACAGCTATGAAAAAACTTGTTTCAACAACTATGAAACAAGTAGAAAAAAATTTTAAGGTGACATAAGAAAAGTTGCTGATAGAGAGGCATGAGATTTCAAAGAGGGGAAGAATATATCAGCTGGAAGGATCAGATAAGGATATGATGGAGAAGCTGCTATTTGAGCCAGCCTTCAAATGAAGATGAGAAAGATCTGGACATGCAATAGGGAAGGACACTAGACACATCCAAAAGAACTTGTTACAGATCTTTCATAAGTACTATCTTATCTGAACTAGCCTAATTTAATGTCTAATATCCTAAAGAAAGTAAGCTCCAAGACAGAAAGGACCTTATATAGCTTGTTCCTTATTATATACTCTATCACTACTACCTGGCAGGTAGTAGGTGTTCAATAAATATTTATGAAGTTATGAACCTCACAAATAGCATTCCAAAACTCCAGAGGGACAAGGGTGCTAAAAGTTGACCATAAATCACAATCAATGCACCTCTAAAGTACTTGAGACCACAAGGGATCTCATGAAAACTAGTCAGTGAAATTTCAATCAAAGCTTTGACGTGGAAAGATTCCATTTCATGAAAGCATCAATTCAGGTAAGTGAATTCAGTTCAGGTAACTGAAGCTGAATGAACTCAACTCCCTTGAAGCTGCCTAAAATGACCACAGCAATTATGATTCCCCCAAAGATGACAGCATGCCAGAATTATCTCAAGTTAACACATTGTCCTCCCTGTGAAAGAGATAAGCAGCTCACAAGATAAAGTAAGGAAGACAATATAATCTCTGTCCATTCTTCTCCATGTACAGGCTCTGGTCTCTGTGGGCCCAATCACTTGCCAGAGAGTGTTGTTTAAGAGAATCAAAGAAAAAAAAATGAGAATGGCAACCAAACAAATCTTTCCATTCCCTGGCCTGGAGCAGCAGCAGAAGCCTCCAGGTCTATGTTCTACTCACAAATAGAGCAGACTATAAGCAGTCAACATACTTTCCCTGATGTTAGGACACCATCAACTGATATCTGAATTGCTGTCCTGTTCCATTACGCATACTGATCAAGAACAGACTCTCATATATATAAAATCTACCACACTATAAACCCAGGGGAAAAGGCAAGGAATGCAATAAACTCCCAAGCTACCTTCTATGAATAGATACCACTCAGCTCTGTTATAAAACATGTTCCTTCACACATGGATGTTTCAGGTTGAGACCACTGTTAACAGAGAGATACAGTACACATCTCTAGAGGCTGCCAGGGTTTGTGAACATTTACCAATCTTAAATGCTTAATTAATAGAGCTTCATGGGACTTTGGCTCTCTTTTTCCATGTTTCATTTGTATTTGTAAGCTTTCACTGCTAAACAAGCTACAGTTCTGCTGTCTGACCTAAGTAAAATGAAAAAAGGACAATACAGCTACCATTTATAGCTAATCTCATTCTACCACTAACCAGATACAAAAGAACGGGAACTGTTTTTTTGGTCTTGGTGGGAGTAAGATGAGATTTGAGATGTTACAGAAAACAATGTCCAGAATTAAAGTGTGACAATTGTATGTGTGTGTAGAGAATGAGATTCAGTTGTGTGAAAGACTAACTTTTCTCCCTCTCTACACACATGTACATTCTTCAGGTGGTCATGTATACTCCTAAGCCTTTGACTACCTTTGTTGTAGTAACACCCAGCCCATTTGCCAGGTGGTAGCACCATAACCACCTACTGACTAAGGACTACCAGAGCAGCATAACCATCTAGTTCAGGCCATTCATCTGGGATTAAATTTTAGATTCAGGCCAGGTACTGTAGTTTACAGCTATCATCCCAGCACTCTGGAATGCCGAGGGGGGAGAACTGTTTGAGCTCAGCAATTCAAGACCAGCGTGAACAACATCGCAAAACTCCATCTTTACAAAAAATATAAAAATTAGCTGGGCATGGTGGTACACACCTGTAGTCCCAGCTACCCAGGAGGCTTAGGTGGGAGGGTTACCTTAGCCCAGGAGGTTGAGGACAAAGTGAATAGTGATTATACCACTGTACTCCAGCCTGGGTGACAGAGTGAGACCCCGTCTCATTAAAAAAAAAAAAAAAAAAAAAAATTTTTTTTTTTTAGATCCAGCTTCCACCTAGACATCTCTACCTCAATGTCCCAAAGGCAACCTGAAATGCCCCAAAAACAGAAATAATCTTCTCTAACATTGTTCCAGCACTACCATCAATCACCTGATTGATCAAGCGAGTAACCTGGAAACTGTTAGGCAGTACTATGTAGTGGATAAGCGTGTTCTTTAGAGAAGTCAGATAGACTGGGGGTTTGAATAACAATATGCACTGGCTCTGTGACCATAAGCAGTTATCAAACTTTCAGAGACTCAATTTCCTTATCTTTATAATGAAGACAATAATAGTAGAAAAATCCAAAGGGCTTCAGTGAGAATAAATGAAGAAATCCATGTAGAAGTGCTTGGCACCGTCCTGGAAAATAGTAAGAATTCCCATAAACTCCCCCACAACATCTTATCAGTCATCAAAATCCATAGGCTCTATTTTGTGTATCTCATAAACAGATGCCTCTTGCCTCCATCCTGACTGATAAGAGTTAGGATATCAGCCAGGCAAAGTGGCTCACAGCGAGTAACCAAGAACATGTAAACCTCCAAAAATGAATGTCCGGATTCCCACTACTTAAGCATTCATCATAAAAGCTTCAGAAACAGACGTGGTCAAAATTACACAAGTCCAAATAAAATTAGGAGGCTGAGGTCTGAGTCCCAAGCTGTACATACTGTGTAACTTTACACAATCACACAATGGATTATAATCCTCATCTAGCATACAGAGATAGAAGGATCAAAGGAGGTGATTTCACAGATGACAGTAATCACTTCAGAAGCCTCAAAATGCAATTCAAATGTGAAGTGTTAGCATTGTATATTATGTACTGAAATATAGGCTCAAGAAGGATGGGAATTTACCCATTCTACCTCCTGCACTCACCCTATCTCCCAGCACCTAGAAAAACTAGGCACACAAAAAATGCTCATAAAATCAAAGTGCTTAGCATTGTGGACCTACTGAAGAAATAGAAGGCACATGGTCCCTACCCTCCAGAAGCACTCATATTGGTTAGGACAACAAAATAAAATGTGAATGGAATAAATACTGTAGATAACATTTTTTAAAAGTTTTTTGTTTTTGTTTTGTTTAAAAAAAAAACAACAAAAAGAAAAGGAAAAACAAACAAATAAACCAGGGTTTGGCTCTACTGATCAGGCTGGAGTGCAGCGGTATGTTCACAGCTCACTGCAGCCTTGACCTCCTGGCCTCAACTCATCCTCCTCAGCCTCCTGAATAGCTGGGACTATAACTACATGCCGCCATACCTGACTTAATATTATTATTATTATTATTATTATTATTACTGTGATAGAGACAGGGTCTCACTATGTTGCTCAGGCTAGTCTCAAACTCCTGGGCTCAAACAGTCCTCTTGCCTCAGCCTCCAAAGTGCTGGGATTACAGGTGTGAACCACCACACCCAGTCTATATTTTAAAAAGTTTTAGGCCGGGCGTGGTGGCTCACGCCTGTAATCCCAGCACTTTGGGAGGCCGAGGCGGGTGGATCACGAGGTCAAGAGATTGAGACCATCCTGGTCAACATGGTGAAACCCCATCTCTACTAAAACTACAAAAAATTAGCTGGGCATGGTGGCGCATGCCTGAAATTCAGGAGAATTGCCTGAACCCAGGAGGCGGAGGTTGCGGTGAGCCGAGATCGCGCCATTGCACTCCAGCGTGGGTAACAAGAGCGAAACTCCATCTCCAAGAAAAAAAAAAAAAAAAAAAGGTTTTATTAGAAAATATCCAGTTTAAAAAAAAAAAAAGAAAATATCCAGTTGGATTAGGGAAAGTTAAATTATCAGCCTATTATTGCAGATTTTTCTTCACAGAATGTTGTTGCTATAGTTCTGAATTATGTAAATTACTACATGCTCTGAGAGTTCAGAAGAAATCAATGAGAACTGGTGGTAGTCTGGTTTTAGGA